GTTGACCTCGTAGATGATCAATAACCATAGCTTCCTGATTGCTCCGATCTTGAGATGAGTGAACACTGTGTTGAAGACGTCTTTCCCTGACCTCACTGTTCCATTGTTCTTCTCTCTGGTGTTGGATCACCTCGTGCATGTTGACATTCTCATCCTGTAGCGCAATCATTCTAGCTTGTATCTGGTCAGCTATTCCGACGAAGGCTGTGTTCTCATCCTGAATGGCTTTTGATCTTCTATTGATCGCCAATGAAGATTCATTCTGTTCTTGGATGTGTCCAATTGCTGCTTGAAGCTCTTGGGACATTCTGTCCTTCGTTGCTTTCACAGATTCAAGCTCTGAATGTTCTTGATGAGTTTCTTGTGCAAGCTCTTGATATCTCATGTAGATATGTTCAGCTGTCGATTCCGCCAAGCGTAGCTTGTGTTCGAGCTCTTCAATTCTTATTGTCGCTCCTTCATCTTCCTGTGTCATCTCTTGTAGATGTTCCTGCATCTTCCTGTTGTAGTCAGACATTTGCCTGAACTCCACTTCAGCCTCGTGGTGTAGTCGTGAGTATCCGGCTTGGATGCATTCATATTCTTCATGAAGAAAATTGTATGCGTTTCTCGCCGATCTCAATTCTTCACCCAGCTGAATCTCTCTTCTTTGCTCTTTTGTTCCTCTATCATCGTCACGTCTCTTCTCTAGGCGATGTAGATCTTGTTGTAGCTCTCATCGATCTTCTTGGTCCTACGGGTGCAAGATCGGTCAGATTCCGAGCCGGTGGCACGGATCTTTCCGAGATTTGTGATCCAGTAGGCATAGTGATAACGTCAGCATTTGCTGATGAATCAGTACCCATTGTAGAGTCTGGTGACGAAATGGTGTTGGGACCACCAGGAGCAGCGAATGAATAGGGTTCGCTTCCATTTCCTCCTGAGCTTGACATTGCAGGTTTCTGTAATGACTAGTCTTGTTCTTGATCTCGTGTAGCTCGTACGGCTATAAAGAGCGCGTACGGCTGATAACCTGCGAGTGGATCTTAATCAGCGAAGTTTGAAGCTATCACTGACGGTCCATAAGCGGCGTAGCGTCGGAACGGAAACCGCACCTTTTCTAGTCGCTTGATCCTTGAGCCAAAGTACATATGGTACATATATATGTACAAGTTGCACTGTACATGTCGCTGCACTTCCATTCGCAGAATGAACATTGCACGAATAAAACACCAGAAAAAAACAAACACACCAGAAATATCCAGAAACAAAAAAAACAAGAAGAAGAACAAACACCAACTGAGAAAACACCAACAAAAAACACCACCAGAAGGAAAAAACACAAACAAAGAAACCACCAGAAGAAAAAACACAAACAACCACAACAACAACCACAAGAAAACACAAAAACAACCAAAAACAACGGAAGAAAACACACCAAAAAAAACAAGTAAGACACCAACAAAAAACACCAGAAGAAACAACCCACAAAAAAAAGAAACATAATAAAACCACACCGCGTTCCAAATTGAGACCAATCACCCGTGTTACAATTCCAATTTGAGACCAATTGCGCGTTCCAAAACGAGGCCGTTCCCCAACCTACTTGGAATGGCCTCCAACCTAATAGCAATGGCCTCCAACGTAAGAGAGATTTGTACTTATCCACCTTATACTTCCAGGCTCACCATGGTCGACACGGGCTACAGCAAGGCACGTTTTGGATCTGCCTCAAGCTCTTTCCGGCCGACTGCACCACCGAGAGGTCTGCACCTTGGGCATCAACTTTCAATATGTAGATCTCCTGGCCTGGCAGCCACACCTCCAGAACCTCAGATATATGAAGATTGGTAGTTGAGGTATGTTGAGATTAACTGCCATGCCTACCACCCCCGCTATTTCACTGCGGTTGGGAGATACATGCAGAATCATGGAGATGTTGATGGATGTTGGTAGATGCACGGTTGACCCATCAATGAATCCCAGCTCACAGGCTGGCAGTAACAAACTGGGTGGCTCATGTTGCGTCCTTCGTCGGCCGAATCGTCTCGGACTCTCTCTTGCACTTGTCGGTGTGGAACGACCAAACTTTAACAAGTATAAAAAACATCTGAGTCTGTGCTCATCTCTGCCACCCAGCCACGTGCTCAAGTGAGATGCACGGCACTCGTCGGGTTTCTAAGCCTGTGGCACAACGTGCCTTGAAATCGAAGTCGTCATCTCGCTCCTGGGATTTGGAGGAAGCCGGAAAAAAAGACAAAACATACTCCCCAGAAGGGATTTACCCATGGGGAAAATCACAACATATTCTGATCCGCAAGACCAGGGCTCATGTTTCGAACCTTCATAGTCACCGTCCATCGTTGGAAGAATGGAGCTGCAGCTGTCATGATCCGTGACCGTAAAGGTAGCGAAGGGCGATCCACATCCAATGGCGAAGGGGAATACCAAACCCCTGTCATTCCTTGGGAAAAAATCAAATACATAATCTAGGCAAAATTAAAGATATATGCCTTCAAAAATCAAAACAAACAACATCCGGGCGGGGGATGCATCCCAAAGTGGACTATTTTGTCTTATATACAGTACACTAGATTCTAGATCAAGAACTGCAAAAGGAAGGCAGCAGCAATGCATCCGTTCTTGGCGAGGGCATGACATCAAACAACTCCACATTTGACTGACTTGACTCATCCTCAACAGATACTGTATATAAATCAAATAGGATACGTTATGGACCATATGGATAAGGATAAGTATGGAACAATCCAAAACAAATCGAACCTTGTCTTAGTCATCTACTGGACCATGAAGATGGTGGACCCAGGTGAGGATGGGCTTGAATCACGAGGTAGATGATCTAACATCGGCTAGGAATGGTCTACCCCTCATTTGGGTACCTGCACTGGTCCCAGATTCTTAAGTTTCCCTAAAAATCCAGGAACCAAATCATTATATAGTGTGAGTGCTTCTTCCAGGAAGCTTCCCAGGGCGGCAGGGGGAGTTTCCTTGAAGAAGCGCGAGCTATCCTGCGTCCTGTCGGTAGTAGCTTACTCGCAGCTAGTAGGTACCTCTCCCTCCTAGCGGCCTACATCCACCCTCCGCGGGCTTAAAAAGAAGAAAACAAAACAGCCTCTCGTTTGGGTACTCCCGTCCCAGATTCTGGAAGCCCAGCTTGCGCCGCTGCCCTGGTATGCGGGGCTGAGATCGAGTCAGCAATTCTGCATACTTGTCCAGCAAGGGCTCGAAGGAGAGTACAAAATCTTGATCCCCGAAATCAGGGTAGTGCCTGGGATGCCATTCAAAACATCCCGAAACAACCCTGACCTCAAGAGAAGGAGGGTAGAGTTTGGCACAGCTTCTCCATGTTTCTTCCTCAAACCTCTAATCTCTATCATCCCACCACCAAGCTGCTGTATGTTGTTGTAGTTGTTAGCACCGACCTCAATCCAGAATCGCTTGGGAGCTACCTCCAGGTGCTCGAAATTCTTCCAAAATGGCAGTGAAGCCACCTAGGATATTGCGATGTGCTCGGGGTGTTGGAGAGGTTGCAAAAGTGTTTTGGTATGTGTTGGTTTATATTGGCTTTACATGGCTTTAAAGGGGATTCCTGTTGGTCTGGTCTTTTTTCGAGACTTGCCAGCCAGCTTGGACGCCCCACCATGTTCTTTAAGCTGAGGCAGTTTGATAAGTAGAAAAAAAGCTGGACCCTGTGTTTTCATGTGGCACTAAGCCCCAAATGTATATTTGCCAAGCTGGAGGAATTGACCCAAATCTGCCAGGTGGCTGTCAGTGAAGTTTAGCGGCACACCCTCATATCAGGTGTCGAAGGCATGAAAATACCATGACACTGGATGACACTGGCAGTATCTGGCAGTCATGTTTTTTGAACATTTCTGGCGAGTGCGGAAGTCAACGAAAACCCAGACATCGGACTGTCTGGCTGAATTAGTCTTAGAAGAAGGGTGTACATCCGAATCCCCCTAAGCGGACTTCCCAAATGGCGCCCTGGCTATGCCAATCTTTGCCACGTGTTTCGAACAAATCCTTCCCGCTTGGCATTGAGCTTCCTGAATCAACCTCACGGGAGTCTCACCGTCGGTGAGTCCTCATGCAGGCAGCCCATCCTCAAACAAAGCTCGAGTGGCTTGAACCTGTGCGAACATGCCGTGCTCATCCTCATGCAGCCATTCGCCTCTTCCTCCCATCAAGAGGAACCTTGGCTGCGGATGGAGCATTCAGTTTCGTGGAAGCGCCTCTGTAGAGCATGCATCAAAACCAACAATATGCACTATGGTGTCCAGTGTCCGGGAAGCAGTTGAATTGACCAACTCATGTGCCAGATGAGCACTTTCAGCTTCTCTTTGCTTCCATGACAAAGTGTTGTGGAAGGCGCATTCCAACATTCAGGCACGAACTGCTGCAAAGAACTCTTCGAGTCCTCCTTTACTCAGGAAGATGTCGCGACACCGAGATTCATTTGCTATAATATAATTGAAATTGAAGCTGAGATTCACCGTCTCTTTCAAGCAACAAATTTGATCTTTGTGCCTCTCGTCTTCTGTTCTATCAACATCTTGGATTTGGGCCGGACCAGCGGCGCAACGGAGCACTTGCGCAATGTTTTATGTCATGTGTGAAAAAGGAACAAGTCTGAGAAATGAGTCACGATCGAATTTGACCCAGCTAGGGTTCTGTTCGATTGGATGGTCCTTGCAAAGCTTCTACAAAGAGCCAAGGCTGCGTTCATGGGATACCACAAAAACATGCGACATCACATAGCACCGATGAAGACAAACAATTTTGACACATGGACCATGGAGAAAAATTGCTTTGCTGACTCCAGTTTACATTCTTAAAAACAGGTTGTATCGTGTATGTATCGTGTAACGACAGACACTACGACAGACCTCAACCATACCCACTTTGAAGGCCTGCCATCAAGTGCCACTCAAAAGTTAGGGTGAATCACCGTGACACTTTACTCTGACGGGTCGAGCAAACTTGCTGGGCCAAGCATCTGTAGTCGTGAACCCGCTGCTTGATCACCTATCACCCGGCAAAGATTGAGAAACATGAGAGACTAGAGAATGGCGCCTCAAGGTGCCTGTGGGTGGTAGATGAGGGTCTTATTGAAACACAGTGGGGAGGATCTTCGGAGGTGAAGTGATCAAAACCTGGGTCGCCCACTCTTGGGCCATTCGTGTTGCGTCGCTCGCACGCGCACATTCACCTTCCTCCGCACTCCTTTCACTTCCAGAAACAGGCCCTCGCCACGTGCACAGGGCACTCTTGTCCTGTGACATCGCCACTGGCCGACACATGTTCTGCCTCCACTTGCCTTCATGTAGACACGGCGTTCCAGCGTTGGATTCATACAGCTGACACCTGTCTCTTTGTTTTGTCTCTTCACTTGCTTTGGCATGAAGCGTTTCAAAGAGCCCCAAGCTCCATCAATTCCCTGAGTGCCTGCAACCTTTGCTCTTGTCCCGTGCAGGAACTGGAACGGACCAAGTGAGAGGCCATTGCGATCAGGGTCCAAGGTGCAGCACAAGGTGAAGGCCACAACGGGATCTCAAAGGAAACCGTTTGGAGGAAAGAGACGAAGAATGCTGAGGTAAGAGACCTCTCTCAGCGACAAAAGACCAGACACGATCAAACGGAGGAGGGGGTCAAGGACCAAACGCAACAAAGTCACCCACAAAAAGGGACCGCAACGCGTCGAGAGTCTCATGGGGGAAAGGAACTGTGAGCCAATGTGCATCAATGTGCAGGAAGGACGGCATGCCCGTCTTCCGCAAAAAAACAAAAGTACCCTCTACTGCAATGGATAAAATTGCCACTCCCACCCTTTACCCCCGGAAACCACCCATATGGAATGGTTCATTGGTTTTTGTCATTTCAGGCCAATTTCAGGCACAGGCGCGTGAAGGCGTTATGGGCAACTATCCATGTTCAGTGCTTTCTGCAATGAATAGACGTGGGTGAAATCTTGGAAAGCGTCCCCTTAGCCAAGAAGCTATACTGTACCTATATATACTTTCAGAAAACGGACACCCCAAAAGCAAGATCTTGAAAACAAACATTGCTCCTTCACTTGTATCCATCCCAGTCGCCGTGATGCAAGAGCCATCTCGCACGCCCAGTTGTGACATAGTCGAAGAGAGTTTCTGCTGGTTGATTCTGGCAACTCCAACCAGTAGGAGCCTAACTTTTTAGGGCTTCACGCCCAGCTAATTGCACGGTTCTCCCAGGATCCAGCCAGTCACCGGCTGGGGAAAAAAGACTGGGATGGTCATGGGTCTGTCATCTTTGCAAGAAAACACATCCAAGTCATTCTCTTTCAGAATTCCTTTCAATGTTTGGGCCTATTCACCTGACTGGTCTTGACATCTTGACTCGTACCTATTCACCTGAGCTTTTCCAGCTCGGGAGTAAAAACAGCCTGTGGATTAGAATGGTCCTGCCGGTTGAACGAGCCTGGGCCTCTCAAAGAAGGCAACTAGACAGGGTGACCACCCCAAAAACATCGGATAGCCGAATCAGCAATGAGAGGAAGCTGTTTGTAGCAACTACTATGGAGGTTAACAGCAAAGGTGGAGGTGTTTGCCCCCAAGTGAGGATCTGCAGGCATTTGATCATCCAACATCAGATCAGACCAAGCTTGATTGCTGCCAACATTGCAAGGCTGCTTCAACAGGACTGACGGTGATCATGGCAAGGTGGCTTGTTGGCAAGCACTCCAACAGAATGAGCCATTAATGATGTCCTGCACTACCTGCACCTTTCTAAAACATTCTGTGATGCCTAATCTTCTTTCACCAACGCCTTCGTGTAAGGAAGTCTCTACCCAATATACCAAAATAACTATATCTTTCTTCTAGCTGTCATCAAAACCTCCTCCTCAAATCACCGAACGCATATCAACAAATGGTCATATAGAGAATGTGTCGATAGGCCAGGAAGCTCCATTCCAAGGGCCTCGTCGATAATCGAATGCTTTACCAGCAAACTCTTGAAGTCTTTGAGGGTGCAGTCCTGGACTTGGGGTTTCGCGCAGTTGCTGCAAGCTGGCTTGAATTCCAGGGGAGCGAAACACACACATATATATATATATAATTGTATAAATCAACTGATTCAAATGATGCCAGGCTCATCCGCCATGTTCGGATTATGCCATGCATGACTCCTTTGCCTATCCTAGCAGTCCTAGCAGTCCTTGCATCTGTGTTCGCAAGAAGCTGCCCTGGGGGCTGGTGGGGCCTTGTATCCGAATGAGAGATTCTTTGGAGCTACAGGCCACACGTGCTCAAGATACCTATATATATATATACTACCTATCCTCCCTCCATCCCTCTTGAGAACCCAGCTTCTGATAGCAACTTCCAACTCCTCCGCCTAGTACGTCCAAAGGAAAACCAACCGATCCGAAGCCCTAAGCTTGAAACTTTCCTCCAAAGGTTCCAACCCGCCAACAACCGCCATGCACACGGGGCTCACCCCCGCCTGGCGTTTTCAGGGCCTCCAGGACGTTCAAGGTTAGCTCTTCTCCCGAGAGTCGCATAATCTTCACCTCCATGATGCCTCAGGTGTCAAAGGAGCGGTGGTGGTTCGACAGGTGTTCGACAGGTGTCCCAATCCTGGTCTTGCAATTTGAAAGTGATAAAGATTGATAAAGTAAGTTTTTGTCTGTCTAAGTAGCCGCACCCTCCACTGTCCACACTGCGGGGGGCCAAAAGCATCAAGAGAAACTCTTGCACTGATAGCAACGCAGGGGCCAAACATCGAACTTGTCAACATTCGGGTTGACGCAGGTGTCGTTAGGTGCCTTTTCTTCAACAAGCTTTCTTTTGAGTTAGTAACTAGTAGCGATGGCCTCCAATATGTCTTATAAACAGGTGCTGCTCCGCTTCCATCCAAGGGAGTGTACTTACCTCTGTCCGACATCGTCTTCGACCGACGGACCGTTCGCCTTTCGATCCGTTCGCCTCCTTGTCATCGCCAGTTGGGGAACCTCAAGGACGCTTGATGCGGGGCAACAAGGAGTGATGGGCACCTGTGGATGGCGTGGAGTCTTGTAGTACTCCATCCGTCCACATGAGGTTCTAGGCCGTATCTCATTCATAATTACATGTCTGACGTGACTTGATTCGCTGATCAATTCAGTTTATGCATGCTGCATACATGACAACATAACTTGTGTCTTACAAATGTGGCAGGGCTTCACCATGGGCCTGCTAACACTGGGAGTACCGGAGAAACATGAGCTGAGCATAGCCGTTTTCTAAAAGCCCCACTAAATCTAAGCCTTCTCCCATTCATTTAGTGTCCCCAAACCTTCTGAAACCAATCCTTAAAAAGCAAACCGCGGCTCGCCACCAACCTGACCAAATGACTGAGAAAGGAGCACACGAGATCGGCGGCGAAGCCCAATCCATCACCATCCCAACTCTGACCGATTTGGATCGTACCGAATTCAACGAATCGCATGTACCGAGCCTCCGGTTGTGGTCGTTTCCGGCAACACCGAAGTGGTCTCTTTGACAGGCTCCATGGCGCCGAAGTGAGGAGGGCAGGAAGTTGGGTACCTGATTTTTCATTGCATTCTCCTGCATCAGCCAGACATAGCCAGACAAACAATACCCAAACACGGCATGTACCTCTGAGATGGACATCAAAGAGTGGTTTCTTGCAAAGAAGGATTGCTCCATTCTGCTAGAATAGATTATGTGAGCATCCACTGGTGCACTGGTGTCAACGTGATAACCACGCAGCTTCGTCTTGATATGCTGAAAGGCGAAGGCTACTGGCTCTCCTGCTCTGCAAAGAAGCTCTGCAATAAATAAAGAGGCTCAGCTCTGCTTTCTTCGGATTTGGAAACTCAACTGAGTCAACTCTTCACATGTAGAAAAAACACAACGGCTTGAGCTGGGGGTCTCCCGCCGTCCAATCGAGGTCGGTGAGCATGTGGTCTTGGGACTTGTTAGTGAAACGCCCGGTGTCTTTCAACCCCAGTTCGATGCCTTTTCCTTGATGTCGGAATTCCTCTGCTCCACGGTCTCCTCGGACAATCAACGGCCAATTCAAGTCGCACCATCAAAATCATCAAAAAGGAACAAACATCCAATGCGACTTCATGGTGCTTGAAACTGGCTTAAGAGAACCATCCCCGGCCTCCTGTTTCTCCAAACTCATAGGAACACACACGAACAGATCAAGTATCCTTCAAAGCCAAAACTTGAACTTGTGATGGTTTCGAGTTACAATTTTTGCGGAAAAACAATAAGAAAAACACAACTCATGGGAAAAGCCTTTATCATCTGTTGTTCCCTCGCTCTTCTTCGACCTCCCTCCAAATCGCTACCAAGAGAGATATGTAATCTGAATTCACTCATATATGCAAAACAATGCCCAAAAACACGGATGAACTGCACCATTTTTCATGCGCGACCAGCTCTCCCCTGCAACCAAATTTGCCAAGGTCGGCACCCGGTCATGTGCCAACCTCAACTCCTGGCGCAGGGAGACGAGGACGGGTCGCTTTTCAATAGGATTATAACGATTCTAGTCCTATGCCAAATGTGCGGCATCTTGGAAAGACGTTCACCAAGATGAGTGGCGATGTTGGTTTTAACCAAGACCGCCAAGAGCATTTAGTGGTTGATAGATGTTGGTAGTAGTCGAAAGTTGGCGATCCATTCCGTGGGTAAACATGCGCTCTGCATCTGCGCTCTCACGATTTCCCCTCTCCAATGGGTCTTGCTGGTTTACCTGGCATAAACCTAGCACCTCTTGCACCCACACTGCAATAGTGATTCGAGCATATTCGAGCAGAGAATCACATTGACCTCTTTCCTGCATCAATCGCGAGGCCATCGCAGTGTGCACGCTTGGACGCTGATCCACATCGCTGGCCTCAGCGCTGATCCGACATGTTTCGGGTCCCCCTCCCCCAAAAGCCTCTTTTTTCGGTGTCCTAATGTTTCGTGTAGATTATAGTTTTTACGTCTGGTTGTTGGATACAGCAATCCTTCTACATCTGACCTCACATTCTGAGAGTTGCTTCAGGTATACATATAATTACATATACATATACAATACCATGAATGTTCTTCAACGAGTGCCTTTTGGATGCATTCGATTGGCGAATCACCTGGGCACCGTAAATCACGACCCCCCGTGCGACGCCGCTCCGCCTCCGAGAGGTCCACGACGGAACTCTCCGGCGTGTACTGCGAGGGTGACAGGCGGACGGGTGAGGACGCGGGAACCGGGTTAGGACGGGTGTCTGGGGGAAAAGCCACCAAAACAAGAACAACTCGTGGAAGAAATGGATCAAGGATGAAGAACAAGAGAATACAAAACACATGAATTTGATTGGATTTGGTTGTTTTGTCAAGCATTGTCAAGCATAGAATGTTAGGTATTGGTGACAAGCTCTGCACAACCTGGAAATTCCAAGGTTGTGTTTTTGTCTTTTTCGCAGCACCCGTCTCCATATTTGGTCCGTGACCAGTCTTCCCGATATGTCAACATGACACAGTATCGCATGCAGGGGATTGAAACCGGTGGCATGATTTTACCACTGGCAGCAAAGGCCAGCCAGTCAATCATTGTTAAAGCAGCCGTCATCAATAGACCCGAACCCAAGCAACTGTCATCGATTGTTTAACATACTCCCAACCCCATATATAATGACCTAGCCGAACTCTGGTACAGTTTGGAGAGTTCCTCACAGCTTCAGTGACTGATGAAGGATTGAGAGGACAAGTTCATAAAGTGTGCAAGTTCAGCCAGTTTTGAGCCTCAAACGCGCCAGTTTATGTAAATGTGTTCTTTCCATTCAGGGCCGGCAAAGGCCACATCTTCGTCAAACGGCAGCTGCGTGATCTTCGCCCAGCAGCTGAAATCACTGTGCTAGATTTCGGTGCAGACTGTCAGGCATTCCATCTGTCAAGATTCTAAACCTTCACTGCAGTTCCCTAGGCCCTAGACAGACCAGCCATTTACGAAAGCTCTCCTGAAAGAGCAAGTGCCACGGTTTTTGTTTGGATTCGGGTAAAGGACGCACGAGAGATTTCAATCCCATTGAATTCCCGGGCTCCGGCATTGTCTGGCATGTCCCATTGCTCCCACCACATCTCCTGTTTGTGGAGTGGAACGTGGTCAGCACCGGCATGGCTAGGCGATTTGCCATGGCTGGGCGATTTGCCTTGCCAGGACATGCCAGTTGAGCATGGCGACCATGCTTATTGGAAAGGTCTTGCCTAGACACACGGTTGGGTCAGTGGAGGACCCTAGACATGGTAAGGCTGCAGTTGCACGTTCCTATGCCTTCAGCGGATAGCTAAAGATTTCACATCCTCAAACAAGACCTGACTGTTGTTCTTATGATTTTTTCTGGCACCTGGAAACACAACACCAAGTCAAAACAATTAAACATAGAGTCTCTCAACTCTGGACCGCGCAACAGCAAAGGCCGGCCCATCTCATCAATTTGACACAGTGAATGACCTCAAACAAGCTCCCCATTCCACATCTTTCATCTCATGGATGGCAAAAGACTCCTGTTTTTGTTGTGCACTCTGACAAATTAGGATATGCACTGGAGGACTGGAGGGCCTTGACGGAGAACGTCCAAGAGCTGTCCGCTGGAAGCACCTGCCGCTGGAAGGTGCTGAAGCAGGTGGGGAGCCCATCCTTACATTCCCCCACACCACGACAGCAAGGGCGAGCAAATCGGTTACGCTTCGACCAAAAAACAACGACATCCTAACCTAAGAGCGATGGCCTCCAGTCAGCATAAATTCTAAACTCCACGAAACTCCCAACATACAGTAAGACTTTGCGCTTTTGACATGTTCCTGTTCGATCCGCTTCTGACATGCAACCTGGAATCAACATAATTACTCTTGCTGAACCTAGCCTCCAATGTTAGAGAGAGCATTTGTTGCAATATCGTTAAGTTTTCCTAAAAATCTAGGAACCAAGTGATTAGTGAGAGCGCTTCTTCAACGAAGCTCCCCTGCCCTCAGGCGTCCAGTTGCTAGAAACTATTTTACTAGTAGCTAGGAGAGAACTACTCCCTTGCTGAATTAATCTTAATTAAGTAGGCGCCTACTTAATGAAGTAGGGAGGCGGGGCCTCGGGCTAAAACTAGCGAGCTGAGCATCGTTCCAAGTTCCCTCGCCTTTTGAGAGTGCGTCGCGGGCATTTTGCCGCAACTCTCGAAGCTTGGGGGTCTCTTCTGCAGGGCGGCCTGTGGCACATCACTGCACGAGGCAACGTGATGCCCCGCGGCGTTGGCTGGGCAACCCAAAAGCACACCCTAGGCCCCTGGGCCCAGAAGCCTTGCCATCCTGAAGACAAGGCACCAATTTTCATGTTGGATTGACATGGGACCTCCTCCCCCAAACTCACTCGAAAGAAGTGTCTGGAAGAAAACCTGGGGGACATCGAAAGTTCCTCACGCTGCCCCACGGCCCCACGGCTGCCTGACGCCACCTCCAAGGCATGGGCCAAGTGTCCTGATTCAGCCGCCATGAGCATGGCCTGAGCGAGAAAACGAGGTCAGCTGCATCTGGTGGACCCAGAGTCCGTATCCGTGTGCCGCAAGAACATCTTGGAACTGATCTTCCGGATGGCCACGCATGGCCACGGTCTGTATCTTAGCAGTTTTTGAGATAACTCAAAATCACTTCAAAGCCATGCTGGGCTAGATTGGATCGTGCCGTCCTGGCACTTACTTGAGGAATTCTCCCGTACTGGTAGGAAGCGAACTTTTAGGGGAAGTCACCGTAATCAAAAGAAACACAGAAAAGAGGATTCTAAGACGATAAGAGGAATGTTCGGGACGAGAATGCAGGGTTGGAACGGCCATGCTGCAATTCGCGGGTTTGCCTTGCAGAAAAAGCGATGATACAAAAAGCATACGCGATCATACAAGCCTTTATAAACTGCAACATCTGCCGGCATCTTGGTGAGCTCTGATGGGACAAACCACTCACTCACAGGACTCACAGGACACACGTTCTACAGGACTTTTCTGGGTGCCTCGTGTCATGCTTGGAATCCCCGATCACTTCGATCACTTCGATGAGCGACCGTACAAGGCCCGATGCTTCTTTTAATTAGTAACAGAGGGCATGGCTACTAGGAACAAAGGACGCTACTAGAGGCTCCTGGCATCGCTACTAGGAGCAAGAAGCTACCAGTTCTACCAGAACATTCGGCCAATACCGGCCAATTGCCGAAAGCCCTGTCGAAACCGCCTGGTTTCATCGGGCCTCTCGAGTGACGTGGCGCAGGGTCTCCAAGTCGCCTGAGCGGGTCGCTGCGCGGGGACCTTTCGCCTTTCGCCCGACTTCTGAAGACGTAGGGGTAATTGGGCGACCTCAGGTGTTTTGGAAATCCGAAGTTGGACATTCATAAGCCACAGGCTTAGTCACTTTATGGACTGGACTGTCGCTAGCCTTCAAGATTTACATCGGATTCTTCACCACCCACTGTGGCTGCACAATCCCGGCTTTTGACACTCGAGCTTCGATACCTTGCGAAGCTTCAGCCAGAG